TACAATAAATCAAAAAATCAGCCGCGCGTGGTACGCGCATGCCTGTAATTCTGGCTACTTGGAAGGCTGAGGCGGAAGGATCGCCGGAGCCCAGCAGGTCGAGGCTGTGATGGCCGGGAGCGGCCACTGCACTCCAGTCTGGGTGACAGAGTGAGACTCCAACTCAAAAAAAAAAAAGTATGTCTTTCTTCCTTTCTTTACTTGTTTTTTTGAGTCAGGGTCTCTGTCGCCCAGGCTGGAGTGCAGTGGCACAATCACTGCTCACTGCAGCCTCAACCTCCCAGACTCAGATGACCCTTCTGCCTCAGCCTCCTGAGTAGCTGGGACTACAGGTACACACCACCATCCTGGCTAACTTTTATTTTTTTATTTTTTGGCAGAGATGAGGTTTCACTATGTCGCAGGCTGGTCTTGAACTCCTGAGCTCAAGTGATTCTCCCATCTCAGCCTCCCAAAGTGCTGGAATTACAGGCGTGAGCCACCGTGCCCAGCTGAGCCAGAGTATTTCATCCCGGGTTTGATGCTGGAGCCCTCATCCCTTCCCAAGAACCACGATCAGGAACTTGGTGGATGTCCTGCAGACCCCAGAACTGAAAGACCACCCACTTCCAAGCCCTCCTGCTCATCCTCTATTGGGAAGAGCCCAAGTCCTCACCCTGGAAATGGCCTGGGAACTTGCTACATCCACTGTGCTAAAGCCATTTGGGGCACATCCATGTCAGTTCACAAAGAGGTGGGACCGCCTATGAAAGGACAAGAGATTCTCATCTCTGAGAGTGAGGGACCCTCGGCGAGGGACCTGTGGCATCAGCCCTGGGATTCAGCAGGAACATTTCCGCTCACAAATCCAATGAGCAGTTTTGAAGCAAGAGAGGTCATTCCAGGTGCCGCCTCTGTTCATGCTAGCGCAGTCCTCGTTGTTGATGTTATTGGGTTCCTCTGGCTCCCAGAAGCTGGATGGAGGAAAAAGTGGGCAGGAGAGGGGGATTTGCAGGTGGCAAAACTCTTCTGCGTGATACTGGCAGAGTGAGCACAAGGCATCATGCCTTTATCCAAGTTCATAGAGCCGCACAATGCAAAGGCTTTAGTGAGCTGTGTGGACTCTGGGCTCTAGTGAGCAACCATGTAGCCGGGTGCAGTGGCTCCCATCCCCCACAGTTAGGGTCCCCACGTCCCTTCTGTGACAAGCACTAACTCTTCATCATTAGAATCAAGGGGCAGCAGGGGTACTCTCGGGGCCTTAGGGGGCGATGACAATTTACCAACCGGAAGAGAAATGTTTCTGTATTTAAAATAAGTACTAAAATGAATACAGGTGGCTCATGCCTGTAATCCCAGCACTTTGAGAGGCTGAGGTGAGAGGATCACTTGAGGCTAGGAGTTTGAGACCAGCCTGGCCAACATAGTGAGGCCCCCCCGTCTTTATTTAATAATTTGAAAATATATGTATAAAAATATTAAAATAAAATGAGTACAGCTGTACCAGAAAGAACCAACTCCTGCCTCCTTCAAGCACGTACCCCACCATCTCCTCTCCCCACTGTTTGGGCCCACGAAGGAAGCAGAGGAACCCCAAGAGCGCTGAGTACTTGCCTTAACGTGACAGGTGACCCATCCAGCCACCTCCAGTCCCCTTCTTGGTCCCTGTCACTCAGCCCCAGCCAGTACATCCAAGGAGAATCATGAGCCTTGGCCAAAAAATTCTGCAAGTACAAACTCCATTCAGCCATCAGTTCCTCTACTCCACCCTCAGGGTGAGGGCACGCCCTTTGCTATGCGCCACACATGTAGGGCTCAGGAGTGCCACCCTCTACACCCCTCCCAGTCCCCGTGGTATGCAGAGCAAGCTTCATGCCTCCCTCCCATGGTGGCCTATGTGGTGAGGATCATCGTGCTACTTTTTCTCATGCCATCTGTGAACTGCTCTGTGCCTCAGTTTCATCTGTAAATGGGTTAACAGTAGCAACCCCTTTATAGGACTGTTGAGAGGATTAAATAGGTTCCTATGCTTCAAGCGCTCAAAACAGTGTCACGAGTACTGTGACATCTTAACATTTAGCATTATAACATTTAAGTGACCATTTTAACAATAGCAACTGATGCTTTTTTGGTTTCCCCAGTACTTTTATCTCACCCTGAAGCTTTAATCTTTGTCCAGACAGCAAAGGAACTGATTGCTTCAGGAAAAGTAGAGGACAGGGACCTCCTGGTTTTGGTATTTCAAAAGCCCAGGTCTTTGAAAGAAAAGAAAGGACAAGAGACAAAGACAGCCTGGGTGCCTATAATCCCGGCACTTTGGGAGGCTGAGGAAGGAGGATCACTTGAGCCCAGGAGTTCAACAGAGCAAGACCTTGTCTCTACCCAAAAAAAAAAAAAAATTAGCTGGACATGATAGCTCACACCTGTAGTCCCAGCTACTCTGGAGGCTGAGGCAGGAGGCTCACCTGAGCCCATATGATTGAGGCTGCAGTGAGCCGTGATTGTGATTGTGCCACTGCACTCCAGCCTGGGTAACAGAGTAAGACCCCAACTAAAAAATAAAAATAAAAAGATAAAAGATTGGGAAGAAAATGTGGTTAAAAGCAACTTCTCTTCAAGCAAACTAATTTATGATGAGAGAGGTCAGACCAATGAGTCTAGGTGGGGGCAGGGCAGATTAACTAGGAAAGGATATGAGAGGACTTTCTGGGGTGGTGACAAGATTGTAAGCTCTGCCGGGTTGACAGCTGCATGGGTGCATACATTTGTCAAAACGCACTGAAAATACAATTAAGATTTGTGCATTTTACTGTATGCAAATCACACCTCACTCACCCAACTTATCACCAGACCGAGATTTTCTAAAATGTAGAAAGGAGAGATGGCAAAGGAGGGAATTTATGAAGATGTGCATGCGATGGGTTCCAGAGGGAGGAATTCTGCACCTCATCCCTGGTGAGCCCCAGGGGATGGCAAAAACCCCAGGTGGGTCTGATGACTCAAAAAAGCAGAAGGGCTCTGGGCACTCTTTCCTGGGTAAAGCCCCAGGGAGGTGACAGGAAGCTAGAGAGAAGAAAAGGCTGCCCATCCCGTCCAATTAGACAAGAACTCACAGTCTCTTAGATGCCAGAGTAAGGTAGAAGAAACAGAAAGATCCCTTGTTCCCAGTAACAGCAGAAAGAGGTAGCAAACCCTCCAGACCCAGTCGAAAGCCCTGGCTGATGGAAGACTGGGACACCGCAGAGGCATGAGACTATCTCATGCAGAGGTTAAGAGCTTGTTATAAAATTTCAGTAGCTCAAGGCCAGGCGCAGTGGTTCACGCCTATAATCCCAGCACTTTGGGAGGCAGAGTGAGAGGACTGCCTGAGCCCAGGGGTTTGAGACCAGCCTAGGCAACTTGATGAGACCTCATCTCTACAACAAATCAAAAATTAGCTGGGAGTGGTGGTGCACTCCTATGGTTCCAGCTACTTGGAAAGCTGAGGTGGAAAGATTCCCTGAGCCCAGCAAGTCGAGACTGCGGTGGCTGTAAAAATCCGTAAATTAGCTGGGCATGGTGGTGTGCACCTGTAGTCTCAGCTACCCTGGAGGCTGAGGCAGAAGGATCATCTGAGCTCCGGAGGTTGAGGCTGCAGTGAGTCATGATCCTGCCACTGCACTCTAGCCTGGGTGACAGAATAAGACTCTGACTCAGAAAATTAAATAAAAGTTTCGTAGCTAAAAAGTAATTCCTGAAGTAATAAATAAAGAAATAAAATTTAAGGGCAACTCCAATTTTTCCCCATCCAGAGAAAGGAAGGATACGTGAATCCTGGAACAGAGGCAAACTGACCCTGTTGATTCTTAAAGGCTCAGTGAGAACAGCTCACCTGCTCAGCAAAGCTACTGACGATGACCAAGTGAGAGAAATTGTCCTGGCAGAATTCCCGGGCTTCATCCCATGACCTGGTGCTTGGGGAGAAGTAGTAACACGTACATTCAAAGGGGAGCCAACCTTCAGGGCAGGTGATTCCGGAACACTCTAGGGACAGAATAGGATGTTGGTCAGGGTAGTTCCACAGCCAGAGCCATGTACATGGTAAAAAAAAAAAAAAATTAGCTGGACTTCATGGCATGCACCTGTAGTCCCAGGTACTCAGCATAGTGAGGCAGGAAAAGCAAGAGTTGTGCTCGCCACTACATCTATGTGTATGGTTGTTCAGGCTGTGCACTGCTCAACTCCAGGGGGCACCATTCACAGAGAATGCACTGAGAATCACTTCCATGGAGTGGTGCATTGTGCTGGTTCTGCTATGTTCCCCAACTCTGGGCAGTTCCCCAAGTCCTACTCACCTAATAAGCCCCAAAGTTTCCCCCGGGACTGGTTGGTGTCAGCTCTTATACGGTCAATGTCCTTCTTCAGGCCAGCCAGTCCTGCCATGCCAGTCACTGCCAGAAAGGATGGGTTAGCACCACTGACTTCAGACACATCAGAGGGAAGTAAGAGTTGAGCTCGCCACTATATCCCCATTCCAGTAGGTTGTGCTTGAACTCAAATACCCCATGTAGGCCAAGCACGGTGGCTGACTCCTGTAATGCTAGCACTTTGGGAGACTGAGGCAGAAGGATTGCTTGAGGCAGGAGTTTGAGACCAGCCTGGGCAACATAACAAGACTCCATCTCTACAAAAAAATAATAATAATTAGTTGGGCATGATGACATGCACCAGTAGTCCCAGCTACTCAGGAGGCTTGATCCCAGGACTTCAAGGCTGCAGAGTGCTATGATCACTCCATTGCATGTCAACCTGGGTGGCAGAGACCCTGTCTCTAAAACACACACACACTCAGGGCTCAGGAATCCTAGAGGGGCTCGGAGGAGGGATCAATCTCTGGGACTTGGGGAAGGGTGGGGATGGTGGGTTCCCTGGAGGAGGTGAGTTTTGAAGGAAGGGTGATTCTGTTACGTGGGGAAGTGGGTACACCAGGCAGGGTCTATCTCAGAAGCAGAGATACACAGCCAGTGTGCTGGGGAAGGCTGTTGCCATAGGGGCGAGTGGAAGCTCAGAGCAGCTGGAGGTCAAAGTAGGATGAGCTCTTGAACTTGAACTCCTCAACTGCCAAGCTTAAGGCTCCCCACAGAACTCCAGGCAAGGAGAAGCTATAGGTGGGTCTTGAGCAGAACCATGGTTTGGCATGCTGCGTGGGGCAAGGCAGATAGGGCATTCTTCATACTTTGGTGGTCATGGCAAGAGCCTTTCCAGCCGAGAAGGTTCTTCTACAACTAATGTGTGCATCCTCACTATTCAAACCATGGTTTCTCCCAACACTCACGAGATCAGTAGATGGGCCTTCGGTTGGTCAAAACATACACATAAGTTAGAAACATAAGTTATCCTTGGCACCCTTCCCTCTTTCTCACCATCCTTCCCAAATCATCTTCAGCTCCCATCAATTTTCTTTTTTTGAGTTGGAGTCTCACTCTGTCACCCAGACTGGAGTGCAGTGGCCGCTCCCAGCCACCACAGCCTCAACTTGCTGGTTTCTGGTGATCCTTCCGCCTCAGCCTTCCGAGTAGCCGGAACTACAGGCATGCACTACCACACCCGGCTAATTTCTATATTTATTGTAGAGATGAGGTCTCACCAAGTTGCCCAGGCGGGTCTTGAACCCACGGGCTCAGGGAATTCACTCTCCTCAGCCTCCCAAGGCACGGGATTACAGACTGAGCCTCCGAGCCCAGTCAATTTTTTTTTTTTTTAGTCAAGGCCTCACTCTGTCACCCAGGCTGGAGTGCCACAGTGGCACCATTATGGTTCACTGCAGTCTCAAATTCCTGGGCTCAAGCGATCCTCCGGCCTCAGCTTCCCTAGGAGCTGGAATGACAGGCATGCACCACCATGCCCAGCACTTTTTTTTTTTTTTTTTTTAAGTTTTGTAAAAATGAGGTCTTGCTGTGCTGCCCAGGCTGTCCTGTCCATCTTATCTCCAAGCCCCTCCTACTCTCACCTGCCCACCTACACTGTCCTCCTCCCTTGTGTTCACATCATTTCTTCCTACCACAGGGTTTTTGCACGTGCTGGAAACTCTCAAGCCCCTATCTGATTAATTCGTTCTCTCCTCTTCCGTCAAGCAGCTGCAGCACCATTTCCCTAGGGAAGCCCTCTGTGACCCTCCCCACCAAACACACAATCAAGATTCCTTGTTAGACATTTTTTTTTTTTTTTTTTTTTGAGATCTCACTCCATCACTCAGGCTGGAGTACAGTGACACAATCACGGCTCACCACAGCCTCCGACTCCTGGGCTCAAACAATCCTCCTGCCTCAGCCTCCTGAGTAGCTGGGACTACAGGCATGTGCCACCATGCCCAGTTAACTTTTTTTAATTTTTGGAGACACAAGTTCTTGCTATGTTAACCAGGCTGGTCTCAAACTCCGAGGCTCAAGCGATCCTCCTGCCTCGGCCTCCCAAAGTGCGGGTTACAAGCGTGAGTCACCATACCTGGCCTCCTTGTTAGTTTTTTTTTTTTTTCCTTGTTAGTCATTTTTATAAAACCACATCCCTCTTCTTTTGGATTATTCATTAAAATTTGGAGTTTTATACTTATTTGGGCAATAATTTGTTTAATGGCTGTCTATGTCTGTGCTGTCCAATAAGTCTATACTATGAACTAATTATATCATTTTTAACTTGCTAGTAGCCACATTTTTATTTTATCAAAAGAAGCAGGCAAAGCTAATTGAAATTTTTTTTTTGAGTCAAGTTCTCACTGTGTTGCCTAGGCTCAGACTGGCCTCAACCTCCTGGGCTCAAGACATCCTCCTGCCCCAGGGAGCTGGGATTTCAGCTACATTTCACCATGCCTGGCTTGAATATTTTTTATTCATCACCTATCATTATCATTTCAAAGTGAATCAATGTTTTAAAAAAATTAGGCCAGACTTGGTGTCTCAGCCTGTAATCCCAGCACTTTGGGAGGCCAAGGTGAGTGGATTGCTTGAGCCCATGAGTTCGAGACCTCACCTCTACAATAAATCAAAAATTAGCCGGGCGTGATAGCACACGCCTGTAATTCCGGCTCCTTGGAAGGCTGAGGCGGAAGGATCGCCGGAGGCCAGCAGGTCAAGGCTGCGGTGGCCGGGAGCGTGCCACTGCACTCCAGTCTGGGCGACAGAATGAGACTCCAACTCAAAAAAAAAAAAAAATTAGTCAGATATTTCACATTCTTTTTGTCTTTGAAATCAGTATGTATTTATTTGTTTGTTTATTTGTTTGTTTGTTTGTTTGTTTGAGAGAGACAGAGTTTTGTTCTGTTGGCAGGCTGGAAGACTGTGGTGAAACCATTGCTTACTGCAGCCTTGAACTCCTGGGCTCAAGTGATCCTCCAACCTCAGCCTCTCAAGTGGCTAGGACTACAGTTGTGTGCACCCACACCTGGTTAAATTTTTAAGTTATTTTTTGTAGAGACTGGATCTTGCTACATTGTGCAGGCTGGTCTTGTACTCCTGGCCTCAAGCAATCCTCCCGCCTCAGCCTCCCAAAGTGATGGGATCACAGACATAAGCCACCACACTCAGCCCAGTGTATTTCATACTTACAGCTCATCTCAGTTTAGACTGGCCATATTTCAAGTGTCCAACAGCCATTTGAATTTTTTCTTGAGACAAGTTCTCACTTGTGGCCACCATATTGGATAGTGGAAGTCTAGACACACACACACACACATACACACACACCATAGGGCAAGAATGTGTTCACCCTTCTGCCCCCTGGTCCCTGGCACAGTGTCTAGCAAAGACAGGGATGGAATTGACCTTGGAATTGGGTTTGAAGATTGGGTTGGTGCTCAACACGCGTGGCGTGAAGGAAAGACAGAAAGCACTCACCGTTTGCTTCCCACATTGTCTGCCGAAAGGTCCTCAGCTCTTCCACCACCTCCTGGTCTACGAGGAGGATTCCAGTTCAGGCCCAGTTTCTCCCCAGCCCCACCCCCAGTCTCTCTCCATGCCCCATCCTGGCCCTACTCACACTTAATCAGGGTCACAGCCAGACCGGCACAGCCCAGGAGCAGGGTCATCACCACCAGCAGCCACAGGCACACCAGCCTCTCCGCCGGGCAACACCTAGGACCTCCAGACTCCTGGTGGCGCTGGGATGCTGGAGTGGCTGGGGTGGGGTGGGGACAGAGAGACTGATGCCAGTGCTTCAGAGGGTGAGGAAGGGACCCTTCAGCCTTTCTCTAAGAGCAGGGAACAGAGGTATGTCGCATGACTGTTTCACCAGATGGGGTCAGCGAGAGAGGGTTGGGGGAGTGAGCCCTGGGGAAGCCCAGGGCATTTATGGAGCATTGCCTGTGTGCTGAGCATCACGGGACACCTTTCTTAGCTTATTGGATCCCTCCCTCTTATGATGAAACATAAATATCATTCCCATTTTGCAAGGAAGTAAACTGAGGCTTGGTGAGGTTGTGCACAACTCGAACCCAGCTTTGTTCTTAATATCTTTTTCTTTTTTTTGAGTCAGGGTCTCACCCAGGCTGGAGTGCAGTGGCACCATCACAGCTCACCACAGCCTCAACCTCCTGTGCTCTGGCGATCCTCCCGCTTCAGTCTCCCAACTAATGCTTTAATTTTTGTAGAAATGAGGTCTCACTATGTTGCCCAGGCTGGTCTCAAACTCCTGGACTCAAGTGATCCTCTCACCTTGACCTCCCAAAGTGCCGGGATTACAGATGTGAGCCACCACGCCCAGCCTGCTCTTAATATCTAGGCTGCATCATCTCCGACTCTCAGAAGCCCCTGCCCAAGCTGTTCTCTCTTCAAGAAAGCTTATAGACCCTTGCTTCTGGGGCAGAGAATATTTCCCATATCTTACACAAGCAGGAGGCAGCATCTGAGAGTAGCTAGCAAACACCCTGGGTCCCTGGAGCCAGGCACAGTGGCACACGCCTATAATCCCCACACTTTGGGAGGCCTAGGCGGATCGCTTGAGTCCAGGAGTTCGAGACAAGCCTGGGCAACATAGCAAAACCCTTGCCTCTGCAAAAAAAAAAACAAAAACAAAACCAACAGATTAGCTGAGCGTGGTGTTATGCACCTGTTGTCTCAGCCACTCGGGAGGCTGAGGTGGGAGGATCGCCGGAGCCTAGCAGGTCGAGGCTGCAGTGAGTTGTGATTGTACCACTGCGCTCCAGCCTGGGTGACCAAGTGACACCTCAACTAAAAAAAATAGAAAAAATTGGGGGAGTGAAAGGATACTTCCAGGCGTCCCCACTTGGGCTTCTTAAAGAGTCTTTCCCCTACTCACCCAGTGAAGGGGATGTGCTCACGGCAGGGGTGAGGTCCAGGCCTGCACGGGATCAGAAGGACAATGGTCATTCTAGGACGGCTTCTGCCAGGTGAGCAGACGATCCCAGCCTCGGCTCTCACCTGCCATCTTTGGGGCTTGCAAGGAAGTGGGGTGTTCCCTTTCTTTATGTTAAAGATGTGGGGTGCAATTCAGGATTAGGTATACAAGTGGTTATTGTACAGGTAAAGTTTGGGCCTCCCTTTGGACCCACTTTGCCTGGTTTGACATCAGGTACCCTTATCGATGCGTCCCACCTCCACACCCTCACCGGCAGTATCTCGCTACTGCCAATTATCTGTTTTCTTCTCTGAGGAGAGGGGAATGGCTGCTCAGGTTCAGAGCAGGGCGAAGCAGGCACTGGGGCTCCTGCACCCCCAAACCCAACTCACCTGCCCTTGGAGGTCTTGAGGGAGCAGCTGAGCCTGGAATGGAGAAGCTCGGGATTAGGGCAAGGATGGGAAGATCAGAAGAAATGATGGAAACAGAGTTAGCACTGCAGTAGGAGGTTGAACGAAAGAATGGAATTGGGATTAGGGATGGAGACAGGGCTGAGGAAGAGTGACCAATCAACCTGGATTGCCTGGGACTCTCCCCATTTTTTTACTTGCTATTTAATAGAGATGGGAATCTTGCTATGTTGCCCAGGCTGGTCTCAAACTCCTGCACTCAATCAATCTTCCCACCTTGGCCTCCCAAAGTGCTGGGATTACGGGTATGAGTCACCACACCTGGCCAAATCTCCCAATATTAAAACTGAAAGTAGGCCGGGCTCGGTGGCTCAGCCTGTAATCCCAGCACTTTGGGAGGCCAAGGTGAGTGGATTACCTGAGCCCACGGGTTCGAGACCCGCCTGGCCAACTTGGCGAGACCTCATCTCTACAATAAATCAAAAATTAGATGGGTGTGGTAGTGCACGCCTATAGTTCCAGCTACTTGGAAGGCTGAGGCGGAAGGATCGCCGGAGCCCAGCAGGTCGAGGCTGCGGTGGCCGGGAGCGGCCACTGCACTCCAGTCTGGGTGACAGAGTGAGACTCCAACTCAAAAAGAAAAAAAAAAAAACTGAAAGTCTCACATCCCAGGAAATCCCTCAGTCTTGGGAAAACTAGGGGAGGTGGTCACCCAAGTTAAAGGCACGCTTAAGAGATGAACATTTCCCATCAGTTGAAACAGTTTCACTGTTCAGGCTATTTTCTTTTTTCCACTCTCTAAAATATTTTAAGGAATACCAGCCTAGGCAACATAATGAGACCTTGTCTTTAAAAAAAAATTTTTTTTAATTAGCCTGTAGTCCCAACTACTCGAAAGGTTGAGGCAGAAGGATCGCCTGAGCCCAGGAGGTTGAGGTAGCAGTGAGCCATGATTGTGCCACTGCACTCCAGCCTGGGCAACAGAGTGAGACTCCGACTCAAAAAAGAAAAACATATAGTGAGCAGAGAATTCACAGTTCCCTTCTCTGAGCGTCTCTTTGAAGTGTTTGATCAAAAGGAGAGAGGATGGAAAGGAAGGGGGTGGGTTTCCTTTGAGAGATGAGATCTTTTTTTTTTTTCCGAGTTGGAGTCTCACTCTGTCGCCCAGACTGGAGTGCAGTGGCCGCTCCTGGCCACCACAGCCTCGACCTGCTGGGCTCCAGTGATCCTTACGCCTCAGCCTTCCGAGTAGCCGGAATTACAGGCACGCGCTACCACGCCCGCTAATTTCTGATTTATTGTAGAGATGAGGTCTCGCCAAGTTGCCCAGGCGGGTCTCGAACCCGTGGGCTCAGGCAATCCACTCACCTCAGCCTCCCAAAGGCGCGGGATTACAGGCTGAGCCACCGAGAGAGACGGGAATCTTGCTCTGTTCCAAACCCAGTTCCCTCTATTCCCCTCAGTCACACTCCAGAAAGTTCCTCTCACGTGGCTTGGGAGGAAGGTCCTTGTAGGGTGGAGCTGTGTTCTCATAATCCTCATCCTCCTCCTCCTCCTCGGTAGTCCCTTCCAGAGAAAAGGCAAATCAGAGCCCAGGCCATTCTCCATCCCTCAGGCATGGTCTCTGGTCCCAGCCGCCCCAAAGTGAGGGGATCTGGCCCCAACCTGAGCCTGGTCAGGCCCTTACCTGGCAGGTCCGGGTGACCAGCACTTGTGTACAGGTTGAACATGGCTGCAGCTACACCAGGACCCTGAGAAATGACAGCCAGGGCTTGGCAGCTTCTGCCTCCTGTCCCTTCTACTCAAACGTCTGGGGCCCCACTCAGTTCCCTTTTCCTTTAAGAACCAAAATACATGCAAATCCATCTTGAGGGGAAGCCCAAGGCCCCCGCACACACTGTCTTTCTCTCCAATTCAGGTTCATACATAGACATCACAGTGGATAAGCTCCTCCCTTCAGTCTAGACAGGAGAGACAATAAACCAGTAAAGAGACATGGAAATAAACAATAACATTTTTACACATATTTTATTTGCAATAGTGGCAAAGTATTATTATTACAAAAATAATAAAACAGAGCCAGCGTGATGGCTCACGCCCATAATCCCAGCACTTTGGAAAGCTGAGGCAAGAGAGGATCACTTGAGGCCAGGAGGTGAAGACCAGCCTGGCCAACACAGAGAGACCCTGTCTCTACTAAAAAAAATTTAAATTAGTCAGCCATGGTGGCATTTACCTGTAGTCCCAGCTATTTGGAAGGTCCAAGAAGGAGGATTGCCTGAGCCCTAAGATCGAGGTTGTAGTGAGCCATGATTGCGTCACTTGCACTCCAGCCTGTGTGACAGAGCAAGACTGTCTCAAAGAAATAAAAAATAAAGTTGGGCTGAGCACAGTGGCTCACACTTGTAATCCTAGCACTGTGGGAGGCTGAGGTGAGAGGATTCCTTGAGCCCAGGAGTTCAAGACCAGCCTGGGCAACATAGTGAGACCTTGTCTCTACAAAAAAATTTTTAGAAAATTAGCCAGGCACGACAGCCTATACTCCCAACTACTCGGGAGGCTGAGATACAAAGATCACCTGAGCCCAGGAGACTGAGGCTGTGGTGAGCCATGATTGTGCCACTGCATTCCAGCCTGGGTGACAGAGTGAGACCTGACTCAAAATAAATATAAATAAAAATAAAGTTACAGAGAGAAGGAGAAGCCTACTCCCACCCCATGAGCAAACCAGGGATTGGGGTTTTGACTCACAACCAAATCAGCAAACAGCAAAATGACAGACATGGATAAAAGGGGGCCCAGCGGGAGCGGCCGCATCTTTTGGTATGGCAAGGATGTGAGAGTTTCCCATGAGCCAAGGGAAGCCACGGAAGCTCCCAAGACAGCAGTGTACCTGTGTTTCTCAAAAGGGCTGCCATCAGGCTGGGTGCAGTGGCTCACATTTGTTATACTAGCATTTTGGGAGGCCGAGGCAGACGGATCGCTTGAGACCAGCCTAATCATCAGAGTCGTACAAATTAAGACCACATGAGATATCATCTTATAACCATCGGCATGGCTATCATTAAAAAGACAAAAATAGCCGGGCTCGGTGGCTCAGCCTGTAATCCCACGCCTTTGGGAGGAGTGGATTGCCTGAGCCCGCGGGTTCGAGACCCGCCTGGGCAGCAAGACCTCATCT